GTCCGGTAGATCAATGGGACAATTATTAGTCTATATAATTTCACAAAAATTCAGTTCGCGGACAAGAACTGAATGGAACTTGAATTTGGTGCATCAAAAACGATCTTCCATGGTTTCAAACACTCAAAGACTTCTTGACGGAAAGAATCCGCGGAATCGCCGCTCCAGTTTCGATTGAGAAACTCGACGCATCTCACGCGACCGCGACAATTAAAACGAAAATTAAAGCCTCCGTACACAACGCTGCACCTCGGCAGTGTCCTGACTGTTCGGGAAATCACAATCTCGCGTTTGCCCAGTATGGCCCAAGAAACCGATAGATAATCGCTTCGCGCTCGCGAGGCACAGACATCTCTGTTTTAACTGTCTGAAACCCGGTCACGTTCCGAAACAATGCCCTAGCGTAAATCGTTGTAAAAGATGTCAGAGGCCGCATCATTCGACGCTGCATCGGATGTCGACGGCAGCTTGACACTGTCGGTACTACGCCTAATAATCAAAACTGTCGACGGTTTGAGTAACGCAGCGAGCGTCAATCTGCTTTCGTCGAAATCGTCTCCGTATCGCGCGCCAGCAGGTACCGTATCAGAGCGTAAGGAAGTATCCGTTAAACGAGCGCCAAGTCAAACAAAGCCGACACCCTTCGCTCCCGTGTTGCTCGCTACCGCTTGGGTAAGACTACAAACGTCGGAGGATCGAGTTGTGAAAGCGCAAGCATTAATTGATCAAGGCTCATCGCACAGTTTTATTACGAGTCTCTTGCTCAAAATTTACGCACTCCACGCCGTCGAGCGATCTCGACATAACGGTGTTTGGAAGCGGACACGCAGCGCGCGCTACGTCATTTGTTAATCTCACGCTCGAATCGTGCATCGGAGAAAACGCGTTTCCGCTGAGATTGACCGCGTATGTATTTAAAAATTTGACGAATTATGCTGCAACCTCGTCGCACGGCATTCAATCATGGTCACATTTACAGGGATTAGCGCTCGCAGATCCCGATCCCTCCAGCAAGAAGTCAATTAACGTTTTGATCGGAGCTGATCTATACGATCAACTATTAATCGGGCCCATTAAAAAGAGGCCGCTCGGGTCACCCACAGCCCAACTTACCACGTTGGGGTGGATTATATCGGGTCCTACCGACGACCCTCGCGAACCGCGAGCAGAACGCACATCCGCGATTCACTATGCGATCGCGCAAAATACGGATGCATTGATTCGCAAATTCTGGGAAATTGAGGAAGTCCCCACGCAAAGATTCCTCACTCAGGATGAGGAAGAGTGCGAACGCCACTTCGTGGAGACCCATACACGCGACACTACAGGGCGTTACATTGTACGCTTACCGCTTCGTCACAGATCGCCTCTCGAGATTGGTGACAGTCACCAAATCGCGCTGTCTTGGTATGCTCAGCAGGAACAACGTTTAAAAGAAAACCGGAACTCGCGCGCGCCTATTCCGAGTTTTTAAACAAATATGAGTCTCTGAAGCATATGGAAAGAGTTAACAGTAGTCAAACGATAAAATCACCGATATACATACCGCATCATCCAGTAGTTAAGGAAAATAGCACAACTACCCGCGTGCGTGTAGTTTTAACGCGTCGAGCGCGACGTCAAATGGTACGTCGCTGAACGACCATTTGTTAGTCGGTCCGAAGTTGCAGCGCGAGATAGGCTATGTTCTCTCAAACTGGCGTCGACATTGCGTAGTCTACATGGCGGATATCGAGAAAATGTTCCGTCAAATTCTAGTGCATCGAATAGACAACGATTATCAGCGAATCGTTTGGCGACCGAAACCGGATGGCCCAATAGTCAGCTATCGTCTTTTCACCGTTACATACGGTACGACATGCGCACCTTATCTCGCAAATCGCGTGCTTTTACAATTAGCCGAGGATGAAGGCAATTCACTTCCCGACGCCGCCGACATAATACGCTACGCGACATACGTCGATGATGTCTTATTCGGCGCGGACACTCACGATAAGGTGCGTAATATCCGTGCTCAACTCGTCACACTACTAAAACGCGGCGGGTTCACGTTACGCAAGTGGGCGGCGAACGATGCTGCCCTCTTATCTGACATCCCCGCAGTCGGCCACGATCTCGCGATCGATCTATCTAAAGAGGACTCAACGGTATTAAAGGTGCTTGGAATCGTTTGGATTCCCAAGGAAGACGCGTTTAGCTTCCAAGTGAACGAAGTACCAAAGGCTCGCAGTACTAAGCGTAACATCCTCTCGCTAATCGCTCGATTATTTGACCTCCTCGGATGGGCCTCTCCTGTTGCCATACAAGCCAAGATGCTTATACAGGATTTGTGGCTTGCAAAAATTGACTGGGACGATGAAGTCCCTCCGCAGATGCTCGAGACTTGGGAGACCTATTGTCGCGAACTCCCCAAACTCGCAAATTTAAGAATTTCGCGCTGGATTGGCTTCACCCAATCTCAGAGCGCGATTGAGCTGCATGGCTTCGCAGACGCTTCGCTCCGCGCGTACTCCGCAGTCGTCTATATGCGCATCTTAAACTCTCCGACCGACTTTTCGGTATCGTTGATAGCGGCGAAATCTAAAGTCGCTCTACTGAAAACCGTCGCGATCCCGCGCCTCGAGTTAAACGGCGTCGTATTATTAGTACGTCTCCTTGAATACGTCAAGCAAACATTCAATTTTCATTCAGCGACAGTGTACGGCTGGACCAACTCCACCGTCGCACTCGCGTGGCTCACCCAACATCCGTCGCGTTGGAAGCCTTATGTCGCTAATCGAGTTTCCGAGATCCAAGTAAAAATGCCGGAAATAAAGTGGCGTCATATACCCACGCGCGAGAATCTCGCCGACTGCGCGTCGCGGGGAATTCTAGTCGAAGAATTAATCAACCATCAACTTTGGTGGTCGGGTCCCTCGTGGCTAAGTCAAAGTTCAATTTTCTGGCCAAATCCTCGACCGATAGATTCGCCAGAACGTCACATCGATGACACGGCCGTGCTTACAAAACAACGATCGTCCGCGAAGATGCACGTTGCGAAAGATGACGAGATGTGGCAGATTCTTGTTCAATTTTCATCCTGGGGTAAGTTACTCCGAGTTACTGCCTTCTTATTTCATTGGTTGAGTAAATACCGTGCTCGCCGACGTGACAATAAGATTCCGTCAAATTTACATTTCGCCGACCGGATTCAGGAGGCTCGCGATTTTTGGATACGACAAGTCCAGAGGGATCGTTTCGCCGTCGAAATACGAACGCTACAAGCAAATGAGCCACTTCCGCGATCGAGCTCACTAAAATCGCTCAATCCGTTTCTCGATGGAAAGGACCAGTTGCGTCTTGGCGGGCGGTTACGACATTCATTTATTTCATACAACGAACGCTTTCCGTTAATTCTACCGCGCCATCATATCAGCGAGCTAATAATCGATCAAGCTCATTTACGATCGCTTTACGGAGGCCTTCAGTTAACCCTCCGAATTCTACGCCAGAATTATTGGATTCTTGGTGCGAGATCGCTCGTCAAATCTAGATTAAATCAATGCATCACCTGTGTTCGCGAACGCGCCATTACAGCCAGTCAACCGATGGGAGACCTACCGTCTCCTCGAGTCAATCCGTCTCCGCCTTTTTCACACTGCGGAGTGGACTACGCTGGTCCCTTTCCAGTGATCTCTTACGTGAGACGAGATCAGAGATCACGGAAATACTACGTCACGCTGTTCATCTGTCTCGCGACGCGCGCGATCCATCTCGAATACGTCGACGATTACGCTACTTCCGGATTCGTCGCGGCCTTTAAACGTTTCGACGCGGTCTGTCGTCGGACGTCTATAACGACAACGGGACGAATTTCCAAGGTGCCGATAATGAACTTCGTCGCGCCTTTATCGCCACTATGAAGAATACGGAACTGCGAGAGAGTTTCGCCACCGACGGAATACGCTGGCACTTCATTCCTGCTTCCGCGCCCCATTTTGGCGGCCTATGGGAAACGGGCGTGAAGAGCTTTAAATTTCATATGAAACGCGTAGTCGGTTTACACACTCTCCCAGATCGAGCTCTCGACACTACTGTGTGAGATCGAGGCTTGCTTGAACTCGCGTCCTCTCGCTCTTCTTCGCGATGATCATGATAATTTCGACGTGTTAACCCCGGGTCATTTTTTGATTGGTAGACCACTACTCAGCGTTCCCAAGCCATTGCTACTCGAGGTTAGCGAAAATCGCTTATCTCGATGGCAAAGAGTCCAGGCGATGCTCGAAAACATTTGGAAGGCATGGGCGTGCGACTACTTGCATATGTTGCAGCAGCGCTCCAAATGGCAAAGATCGTCGCATGATATTAAGATCGGAGCTCTAGTTCTTCTAAAGAACGAACTCCTTCCCCCTTTGCGATGGGAGCTCGCTAGAGTGGTTGAACTACATCCGGGCCCCGACGGCCTCGTACGTGTCGTAACTGTGCGAACAGCGAAAACGAACCTCAAGCGCCCGATTACGAAAGTCTGCCCTCTTCCGTGCTCCGCAGCTACAGAATGTACTTAAACTCAAATTCGTATGAACGCTTCTCAACTCTGATAAGAGGACGCAAGCCTGTCTAGACTTATCTCCAAAGGCGGGTATTTTTGATAGCAGTATTAATATAAGTTCGTTGCATCATGTCGGGATTGTTCCTTGTAATTAGTATAAGTTCGTTTCATCATGTCGGTATTCAACTTGTAAATAGTATGTAAGTCTTCAAATTGTCGGGTGAAATCTGTAAAAGTCAGGATCACACGATAGGCATTAATGAAAACTTGAGTAAAGTAATTCCTTTCGTCCCATCCGGGACGAGGCGAGCGGCATGTTCAGATCTGACTTCAAAGTCGAATTATTTCAAACCGAGCGAACTAATTCGCTCTGTTTGACCTAAATCTCTCTTTATTTTGATACACATCTTAGCGCTGGGACGATTAGTTCCCGTGCATTACACGTAATGTGCCCATGTAAATGATTATCCGCTCGGCTCCGTTTCCCGTCAACAACATTCCGATTCTCGAAAATAATCGCGCGTAAGTCAGTCGAAGAGAGGCAATCAAAACATGCGTGTCGTTAGTCAGCATCGTCCTGTTAATTCGATAGCAACGTATCTCTTTTCAAGTTATACCTCTACGACGTCCACGTCTCTTTCAACGCGCTTTTCGTGTGATCCACGTCAGTGCAGCTAATAAAATACTATTGAATTAAAAGTGAGTGCATTCGTTCTTGACTAACAACGATAGTATCCCTTCGTCTCCGTTTTACAATAATTTCAGTCAATCGACCGGCGTATTAAAATAATATTAAATATGTTTCCACGTCTTTAAGAGGAAGTGCGCGAACACTATGGGATATCGTGGTATTAATAAACTCAATTGCTTTATTAAGGTTCATAAAGATAGAAACCAACATGTCTCGAATTCTAATGTTATTTATAAAGTCATGTGCACTGATTATGATGCTTCATATGTTGGGCAAACGAAAAGAAAGTTGAGCACTAGAATTAGGGAACATGTTGTAACGGCGCAGCCGTTACTAACGCCTCGCGGGCTGATCAGCCGCCCGCCACATGAGGCTTTGGCGCCTAAAGGCGCCCCTAATCGTTCCACACGAGCCGCCCCACCCCGGGGCGCCCCACCGCGACTCCGGCGCGGTACCCCCGCCTCGGACTCGACGCGGAGTGGGGGACCGCCGGACGGGTATATAAGCCGGCTCGGCGGATGAGCCGGCACCAGTCCCGTCCCAAATCTCCCAGACCAGGCAACGGGCTTCTCGTTGTGAAAGTGCCGGGTTTCTCGGTCGCTGGTTCCTACCGTTAGTATCGGGCAACAGGTTTCTCGTTGTAACACCGGGTTTCCCGGTTTCCGGTCTCCTCCTGTGATACGCCGGGCGACGGGCTTCTCGTCGTTACACTGGGTTTCCCAGTTTCCGGTCTCCTCCTGTGATACGCCGGGCGACGGGCTTCTCGTCGTTACACTGGGTTTCCCAGTTTCCGGTCCATCCTGCTATCCACCGGGCGACGGGTTTCTCGTCGTTACACTGGGTTTCCCGGTTTCCGGTTCACCCTGCTAACATCCGAGCGACGGGCTTCTCGTCGTTATACTGGGTTTCCCGGTTTCCGGACATCATTATAAGGCTATATGCCGCCGTACGTTGGCTCTACAGCTTCCCGTTTTGAATAAAGGCATTACGCCCCGTACCTTGTAGCTGCAATCGTCGTATACCGGGTAACCTGTAAGTCCCATCTGGACACCGCTATAGGCTATGCGTCTCCGTCTGCTGTATCTCCAGCATCGTATACCAAGAGACTTGTAAGTCCCTTCCGGACTCCGTTATAGGCTATACGCCTCCGAGCTTGTAAATATACCGGACGCTCCGTTCGATCCTCACGCTTTGTACATATACCGGGTAGCTCTTAAGTTCTTTGTTCAGGCTTCACGCCACCGGACGCTCCGTGCGATCACCGTTCACTTTGTATACCAGCGATCCGCTAAACCCATAGGGTGACCTGTACCCTTCTATCAAACATTCTTTTCGTTGTTCTTTTCATTTGAATAAACCAACTATTTTTATATTAAGGAATAAGCGAGTTTGAGTTTCCCTCCCCCTTCCTCCCGAATCCTGGAACCGGCGAGCCGATCCGCGGCGTCGGGAAAGGTGAACCGTTACAATGTCAATAATATTAGAGCGGACTTATCCAGACTCTCGGTTATTTCTGAACATATAATGAAAAAAACATCATTTTTTTGCATGAGATGAAGTAAAAATTTTGGATTTTGAACCTAATTTTTATAAAAAAACAATTTCAGAAATGTTACATATAAAAGAACAAAAAAAACGGTTTAAACCTAATGAAGGATACGGAGCTTCTTGATGAGTCATACTTTGATATTCTAGAAGAAATAGCTAACAGACAAACAAATATATAGTATAAACATACATTTTTGTCATTGCTCTTTTATTGTATTGTTTTTCTAACTATCGATCGGATCTTGTGAGATTGCTTTGACAACGTTTTGATATTTCCTTCATGATGGTGAGCATTTTTAAATTTAAGATTAATTCAGCAACCAAAGACATTAGATTAATAAAAATTTTCTTTTTTTTACATAAATAGTTTATTCTTGACTAATAAATTCGTCGGTTGACAACGACTGAATTTAGCAACATTGATTTTTTGACTTAAGAGAATTTTTAAATCTTGACGGAATTATTACATCTCTACTTTGAATGATGGACATGTTAGTTGAGCTTGTCATTGCAATTTGAGATCTGCGTTTGTCATTATGTTTGACTGATTTATTTTGTTTTAATACTTTCTATGTGAGCGCCGCAATTTTGTTAACTTAATACAAGCGCCTGTCAACACCGCTGTAAAAAGTTATCGTAAGAAATTCTTTTTTGATCTATTATATTGAGATAATTAAGTACATTATAAATTTTGAACTTTTCTGATGAAGGCTGAGGTTACAGTCAAAACGTTATAACTTTTAGTTTATATTTCTTTCTGAATTTTAATGCTTTGTATTATATTTTTAATTTATTTAATTTATTTTATTAATTTTATATTTATGTGTTAATAAATATCTAAGCATGTTCTAAATTGTATATTGTAATTTCTTGCTTGTTACGCTGGCCCATATCTTTACGTATATTTTTTAGTTTAAGAATGATACTTATATATCCCACGACTGCTCCGGAACAGATTCGGGGGGTGTTGTTTCAGCTCTGATGTTTCGGAGGATGAATCAGATAACGTGTCAGGTGTCGAATTAGTCAATATTTCATATGGCCATCCATTTCTATTGTCTTTACCATAACCTTTATTTCTCCAATGCACATAATTAAGTCCGCGATGTAAGCAATGTTCATAACACATTGCCCGACTATGCCTAAATAATTTAGAAAATAAACAATATTCATTACACATGCGCGCTTTTTTTACATAATAATTACGAGCTCTTTGAAAATAATGCAAAGGTTTTGCATGAGGTCTCCTTATCCCAAGTTCACGATTTCGCAGAAACTGTACTACTGAAGTTATAGAGTACGATTTCACAGTCTTAATTGTATGATGCGGTGCAGCATCTCTCATTCTATCAACATTATAATTATTGGAATTATTATAATTATTGGAAACATTATAATTATTATTATTATTAGTAAGATGTAGATACCATTTTTCAAGCTTATATATGTAGCATCCTTGACGACATGATTATAGTTTAGTATATGCAATAGAGGCACACACGGCACGATTTAAGGAGCATCCGCAGTAAGAACAAATACTCCCTTCTATTAGAGCATATCTCGCATGCTTTCGCACAGGACGAGCACTTGAATACAAGTTTGCTACGCGTAGGAAGCACGTCAAACAGAATTTAGCACCATACTTATTTTTATTAATTTCTTTAATTTCTTATTTTATTTCTCTTGTTCTAACTAGAGCATTATGTCATAGCAAGCTCATCATTTCTTTACAGAGCACATTCAAAGAGGCAATTTTGTTAACTATGCATATCAGACAGGAGAAAGAAATAATTTAACACAGGTTAACAGTAAAATAATTGATTTGTTAGAAGCATTATACAGAATATCATTTATAGCACAAGCTATCAATTCACAATCTACAAGTGATTTGTTGTCGAACATATTGCTTCCACATATCACCTTTGCGGCATTGCTTGCATCATAAATATTATTTTGTTGTAAAATATTTAAAAATTGTTTAAATTTTTTGTAACATTATGTGTATTTTTATATAACCAGGAATACATATGATCAATACATTTTTCAAAATCGAATAAATGTAATAAAGTTGATGGCATTATGTACAAAGAATTATCTGACGATGTAATTTTTATAATTTTTGAAGTAGACGTGTT